GGCCAAACCCCCAATAATCATTAGTTCCCGTTCCTTTCATCATTCTTAATCATTCTCCCTTTTTCTTAGCTCTATTGTCTGAAATAGTAAAATAACCGTAAGTTCACCAAAAATGAATCCGAGGGGGTTTAATTAAATAGTTGAAATTCTTTTGTTTTTTTTTTCTTTTTATCATTTTTAATTTTTTTTTATGTTTTGATTTCATTGCCGGAATGTCAAATAACGAGGGTGTTTTTGCCAGGATTAAATGCCGCGAAAAATAGAAAAATTTAGGAATAATTCGTTTTTCTCTTCTCTCTTACTGTTCTTAATCCTCTTTCCCATTTTTAATTTTGGTACTAAAATAGAGAAAAATTTGAGGCCCTATTCCGGCCCCGGTCGTATGCCGCAAAAAACGTCGCGGCAGGGTCAGTTCCCGCGATGCTTCGCAGCGGCAGGCCAATCCGGGTCTAACCCTCTGAACGGTCGGAAATGACGGTCCCTAGATGTGCCGAATGGGGCCACATATCTCGCTATCTCTGAGGGCTACTCGTAAGGTTCAGTGTGCCCAAAGCCAGGGGTGCCCAAAGTTCTCCTAATTTTTGTTGTCCGGTCGTACTAGAGTACCGTCAAAACACGGACTTGCCCCTGAGTCTAAATCCCAAAGCCGCAAATTTCAGGCGGCGCACTGCTTGTGGTCGCCTGACAGTTAGCCCGGACCACTTCTCGGCGCCCCCGTCGAGCCCTGTCCACTTACGTCAAATGAAGCGGGCGAGCTTCAGGGTGATTGTCCGTAAAGGACGCCCACGTCGGCGTTTAGTCGTCTTAAGTTTTGGTTTGTTATGAGTCTTGGGGCTAAAAAGATGCTTCTCGACTTTCCTTTTCCTTCGGGTTCTTGGCTTTGGCACGTCCCTCTTTTTCTTCTGTCGTTGGCCCGAGAAAGGTGCCGACCCGCCAGTTTGTCTAATGCGAACTCTCCGTCTAGCCCTCTGGAGCACGAATAACCATCTCTTCTCTCTTCCTAAAGCCAACCCTTTGACCTTTCTTTCCTCTATTTTTTTCCTCTTCTTGGAACTTTCCCCTGACTCGAATCGTCTCAAGGAGGCTCCATCCTCCATTTTGGTTTTTCCTTTCCCTTTCGGGCTTGTCAACGATATGGTAGGTGCAAGCCTGGGTCTAAACAGCTTTAACCTAGCACCCGCCACTAGGTCCTTCCACTTGGATCCGTCTAATTCTGCTATCATATATGCACCCCAGTCGAGTGCCTCAACCACTCTGTAAGGCCCCATCCATCTGTTGGCGAGTTTTCCGGTCCAGGTCCTCTCAAGTGCCGCGTCGTAGAGAATGACCATATCTCCTACGCTCACCCTCTCTCTCCTGATCCGCACGTTCTTATCCCATCTCTCTTTTCCTTTGTCCCTCTCCACTGTCAGGCGATCTGCCGCCGTCATAAGGTTGTCTTCCAAACCGTAGGCTATCTGTCTTGTTCGGGCAGTTATGAATTCTTCTCTGGACATCTCTTCCGCCCAGTCGACGGTTGTCCATCTGTCGACGTGAAACTCTATGGGGAGCGGACAATGTCGCCCAAACCACAAGGTGTATGGTGGGTATCCAGTGCTAGCCCGGACCGTGACGTTGTCCGCCCATATTGCGTATCGGAAATATCGTGGTCAATCACTGTCCTTACCTTTGCACCACTTAGATAGTGACGCTATCAGAGTCTGGTGCCCCCTTTCTACTGGGAGTTTGACTGTGGGTGGTAGGCGGTGGCTATCGAAACTCTCGCCCCGGCTCTCTTGAACACACTCTGAACCTCGTCAGCTAGAAACTCTACCCCTCTGTCCATCACTATCTTGCTGACACAACCATACCTAGATAAGTACTCCAGGACGAAGTTCTTAACTTCCTTTGCCGTCTTACTCCTGATGGGTCTACCGTCCACGAACCCAGTGAAATCGTCTCGTATGTTCACGACGTAGTTCATATTGCCTACCCCCTTCGGCATCTTCACCAGATCGATGTGTATCTTCTCTCCTGGTCTGGTGGGATAGGATGGATGGAGAGGCTCTTTGTATTTCACAAGAGCTCTCTTCTGGCATTCCTCGCAGGTCATACAGTATTTCTCGACGTCTTTATACTGTCATTCCCACCAGTACAACCTGCGTACCTTTTCGTAGGTTCCTTTGACTCCCCTGTGTCCTCCGACTACCCCGTCGTGAAGCTCCGCAACTATTGTTTGTCTCTCCTCAGGGTCACAGACTACTCGTAAGGGCATCCCCGAGCCGACCGGCCTTCGAAATAGATGGCCGGCTCTGAGGCAGTATTGCGCCGCTTGTCTCCGGATATCTGATTCTTGACTCTCCTCTCCTGACAGGTGTAGCCCGATCGTTCGGTACTTGCACTCGTAAAGGTTAACCAGAAATCGTTTGGCGTGTCTCGGCTCTGCCAATGTCAGGGCCCCAGCTACTATCGGGCGCTCGACCTCAAGAGGGATGCGCGAAAGCCCATCTGCCACGACATTTTTAGTGCCAGATATTCTCTCAACTGCGTAATCATATAGCCGAATCCGTATCAGCCATCGAGCAAAGGTCGGGTCCATCAGGCTAAAGTCCTTCTGGAGGACAGAGGCAACTGCTGTGGGATCTACTCTCAAGATGAACCGACGCCCATAGATATAGTGTCTGAACGTATCCAAACACCGCAGAACGGCTAACACTACCTTCTTGAATTGACTGTAGTTTCGTTCTGCCGTATCAAGTGTCCTACTCTCAAATTTTAACGGTTTTTCCTTCCCTTCAGCGTCCTTCTTAGACAGCAACCCTCCAACTGAACAAGGTCCAGCATCCGTGGATACTATGAAGGGTCTCTCGGCCTCATCGTCAAAGAATGGCACGTCCAGTACGCGTCCTCCCTCCTTAAATTCGTCCTTAAGCTCTTGCATAGCGAGTTCCTGTGAGGAATCCCAGCAGAATTTTTCAGTCTTTCGTAGGAGTAACCTCAATGGCTCAGCCTTCTCCGCATACCCCCGTATGAATATACGCCAGTAACCGACCACTCTCAGAAACTGTCGGACCTCGGTTGGACTATGTAACGGTGACGGCCAGTTCAGGACTTTGTCTAACTTCGTCGGATCTGCTCAGCGTCCTCTCGAGTCGCAGATAAAGCCCAAGATCTTAATAGTCGAGACGGCCCATCGACTCTTTGTTCCACTGACCGTTAAATTCGCATCGTCCAGTTGCTCGAGTACCGCGCAAATATCTGTTAGGTGCTGCTCGACGAATCTTCAACTCTAGGTACAACCTATGTCTCATCCTTGTCTACTGACCCTTTTATAGGAAAGTCATCCAGAAAAACTTCAACCTAATCAGGGATGAAGTCCTTGAGGACGGCTACCATGGCTCTCTGAAAAACGGCCACCCCATTAGTCCAACCCATAGGGACAACCATCATCTGTATCAGTCCCAATGGTGTGTGCATAGCCATAAGGTGTCTGTCCCCAGGATCAAGCGGTACCTCATCATAGCCTGAGAACATATCACAGACCAAATAAATTGACCTGCCTGCGGCGCCTTCAGCCAGTAAATCGGCGTGTGGCACGGAGCCCACGTCTCGTATCGTCACCGCGTTGAGTTTCTGAAGGTCCTGGATCCATCGGATCTTGCCATTCGGGTTTCGTAGGAAGAACCATCGATTTGCATAAGCGCTATCGACGGTTCCGCAACATGGAAAATCATCTTTTCCTTCAGGAAAACGATAACTTCTTCCTTCTCCTTCTGGGCGTATTTCCATCCTGCGTCATTCCAAGGAACATGTGGAATCGTATAAATTCTTGCTGGCTTTGCGTATCGAGGGTCAACCCTACCGCGCTCCGCGTCGTTGAAGGCTATAGCCTTATCACACGTCTTTAGGATCTCTATCACACGTTCTCGCTCTTGTGGGGTCAGATTTCCATCTCCGATGTCCATCCCTGATATTCTCTCCCCCGTTAGGCGTTGCGGCTCCTTCTTCTTTCTTTCTTTGATTTCCTTTGCGATCTCTTATTCCGATATCCCTTCCAGTGCAGATCGCTCGCGGCTCACAGCCATAGGGGGCCGTGCCCTTAAAAAAGACACAGATACCACCCTGCCAAATTCCTCATCTGTCTCCTTTGGGTACGAGTTGTCGTCCACTATCAGCCGATTCCCTAAATCTTCCACCTCCACGATCCGACCCTCTTCCTCTGTGAGCAGTGGTCCGCACTTTTTCTCACGAAATCGCACCACGCGGTCGGAGATAGGTAATGACTTAATCTGATCACTGGGTCTTGCTCCTACTGCGAGAGATGCTCTGTTCCTCGGGTCCCGAGGCTCCACCGTCTCAATCATAACCCGCGTCCCATCTAGCTTCTTAATGGACAATGTCTGGCTCCCATCCGGTCGCTCTATCGTCACCGCATGCACGTGGATCAACCACATTCGTCCCAAGAGCAGATCGGAGCTGCAGTTCTTGACTGCAAAGACAGGCAGGGTCACTCGTACCCCTTGGACCTCTATGGATGCCTTGTGATAAACCCCAGTGATCTGTTGCTTTCTCCCATCAGCAGTCTCTATTTTGAATAGGTATGACCTATCGAGGTCCAGTCCAACCTGTACTGCCAGATCCTCGTCTATAATGACAGCCTCACTGTCGTTATCGATCACAGCATCTAGTACCGCTCCATCGTTTATGATTGTCTTCACGGCCCCACTACCAAGTATGTAAAACTTGTCTGGAGGCACACCTTCCATCCCATCAAGAAGGACTGTCGCCATGCGATCCGCTCTGGCAGTCACCCCCGTTACTGCTACGGTAGGAGCTTCAGCCTTAGGAGCCCCCTGAGCCTCCTCTGATAGAGGTACGCGAGTCTTCCGCGTGATCATCTGTAACTCATCGCGAGCCGGCTTCGATGCCGCCAGGTACTCCAGAATAGAGCATTGCATAGGCTGCCGAAGGGTCCGTCTCAGTGGCTCGACCGTGTCAATCTCATCTAGCGAACTCTTCATCAAGAACTTCTTTACTCCCCGCTTTCGCGGCGAAAGAATAACCTCCTCTCCATCGATCCGCTGTCCGCCGTCCTTCTCCGCCATCACGTAATCCGTGTCGGTCTTCTTCGATGTAGACCTCTTGTGGACTTGGTAGCTGCCACCCTTATGGGTATGACCGCCATATCTCCTTCGAAAGTTATCTTGATGCTCTGGCTCCTAACCGGCTCATTTCCCTTACTCGGCTTTACTCTCCTTGCTTCGACATTTTTCTTCATCGAGGGAAACATCGATACATCTCCCAGATCATCTGCCCATTTGACATACTTGCGGTCATCAAGCACGACAAGGCCTTCATCTATTGCTCGTTTGAGATCCGGACAATCTCTCTTGATATGATCATCCCCCCTGCAGTAAACGCAAGAGTTCTTGGGTRTGGGTGGYCTGTCGTCTGCGCCTCTGGAGGTCGAACCTCTCGYKGCTCTCGGGTCAGGGGACTTCGGATACGGGTCAGCCGAAGCGCCATATCCCCCTCTCTCATTCCTGCCGCGCGAATCATTGCGGCGGTCTCCGTATTCGTATTGCCCGCGTGAATCATCGCGTCGGTCTCCTCGGTCGTACCTCCCGCGTGAATCATCACGTCGGTCTCCTCGGTCGTATCGCCCGCGTGAATCATCGGTCCGATCTCCTCTCTCATATCTCCCGCCCCTGTATCCGTCTCGATCCGACCTCTCATATCTATCGTCTCTATGCCCATCGCGGTCCGATCTCTCATATCTACCATCCCTGTATCCGTCTCGATCCGACCTTTCATATTTGTCTTTTCTACGTCCATCGCGGTCCGATATCTCATATCTACCATCCCTGTATCCATCTCGCCGGCCCGTATCCGACTCCCATCGGCCTCGAGAGTCGCTTCTACACCCGTCAGGCTCATAACGAGGGCTACACGAGTAGTCATCCAGTCTCCTAGCATGCCCATACATCTCGCGAGTCCTACGGTCCCGGTCTATCTCATCATCCCTACGTCGTCATGGCTCATCGTCTCTCTCCCTTTCCCTCGTACGATAATCAGTCATTGTTCGAGGATTTCTATCCTCGACACTCCTCCAGGAATCGGTGTTCCTCCGGTCCCAGCGAAGTGAATAGGGCCCTCCGGGCTTGTCCCGGTATGCCGTAGCTCCTGTGGTGGTTACAATTTATGTAACCTGTCTGGTCAACCCCTTTACCATGTCCCTTATCTCCTTCACTTCTTCGGCCACGGCTTCATTCTTCTCTGACCAGGGATGGTCCTTGAAATCAGGACATCTATCGGTGGCATACTCCTTGTAGAGGGAGAAGTCACGCCTCCTCATCCCTCTCCACACCAAGTCATTGTAGTCATCTGCCTCTGCCTTTATCGCGAGCTTTAGGACTTCTAGGAAGTCAAGCTTGTCGCGCGAAAGATCTCTAAGTATACTCTTTTGTCTACCTTTGGATAGGTGTCCGATAAAGATAGTATAGCGCTCGACCTCTGAGATCTTCCCCTTCTTCATCAACACGTCGGAGATCTTTTGGAAACGCATCCCAAATGCCCGTACGCTCTCATCTTCATCTTGAGTCATCGTCTCCAGGTCCTTGATGGAGTACTTGTTATCCTCCAATTTGTAAAGCTCAACGAGGTTCTTCTTGTACGTAGTCCATTTTTCATCCTTCGGTCGAGCTTCCTTAACTTCCCTACCGAGACTTGGGTCCACATTAAATAGGAAGTTCTCTATAATCTCTTCCTCTGACCACTGACTCCGACTTGCATGAAGCTCCCACTTCTCTAGATATTCTGTGATGCCATAACCCCGAAAAGTAGGTGGCTCAGAGGCCTTGTGCGTAATAATATAGCGATCCTTGCTCTCGTAAGGGACCGGATGCGACTCCCCTGTCTGGGGGCCGAAGACTCGCCTGGGCAGCACCCTGTCTCTATATCAGTCTCTCCAATAGGAATCCCTCGAACTCTCTCGCCAGTCGTCTCTGGGTCTATCCGCCATGGTCTCCCTCCGCTCATACTCGGGGGAGCGTCGTCTCGTCGCTTCTCGTCGATCGCTCGAGGTTCCCGTCTTCAGTGCCTCCTGCGGCTCCATCACGACCGGCTTGCCCATTACGTCGGGCTCTCCGTCATTGGTTTGGTCGGCCCATCTTAGCGGTGTTTCCCGCCTAATTCGTTCCTTCAGATCCCTCAGAGCTCGGTCCGGCGATGTCCTGTACTCCTCCCCCACTTCACCTGTGGTTGGTTGTGGCCCCATTGCGTCTGGTTCCATAGGCCACCTGAAGACGCAGTTAGGCATTCTCGCCGGGTGTTACAGCCCGAACTTATGATAGTTGCTGCAGCCCGGACCTGTGACAGATTTCGCAGCCCGGACCAGTTTCCTTGTCACGGTTTACGGTCGTCACCACCCCTAGCTCTCGACTGCCCTGATCACTACCACCAGTACTCAGTTCCGGTCGCGGATCTCGTGCTCTCCCTCTATCCCAAGAGTCCCTGTGTCTAGGTAAACCTCCCCTTCGGGATTGGCCAACAAGGCCGCACCTCTTCGAATCTGCAGTACACCCGTGACGGGATCTCTATGCCTGCGGCAAATCGCAGTCCCAAGCCTAGCCAATGTCTCCTGATCAGCCCCCCTCAAGAGCCTCTGTGTGTTTATCTCCGTCCTCCTTGCTAGGTTTCCTAGCCCGTCCTGAATCGGGTAGCTTGCCAAAGGAGGAAGCTCTCCTCCTACTGTCATCCAAAAGTCGCTCGCTGACCTTTCTGACCTCCACTTTCTTTCCAAGTGCTTTGAACCTTTATTTCTCCTTCTTTAACTCCCAGACAGCTATGAGGTCATCTGTCTAGTACCTGAGGTAGGTCAGTGCTATAACCACTCGTAACCTCATCGCCGACAGCTCCAATAGGTCATAGAATGTCTCAAAGTCCTCCTTATCTCCACTATCCTCTATGGCCTCTAAAGTCTTTATCGATTCTTTCCAATACCGATCATGAGCAGTTAGCATCCTGAGTATTGCTCCATCTGTTACAACTCTCTCTAGCTCTCCAGCTTTCCTGGCTTCGCTTATCTTCAACTTCTCAGCCTCCCTGGTCGTCTCGTACCATGCCCTTATCCGAGGCTGCCCTTCGAAGGGTGTTACTCAGAGTACATATTTTATCCTCCGCCCTCCTTCTATTCCAATCCAAAGTCCTATCCCCCTGGCCTCACGAAGTGGACGGCGGACACACTCTGCCTCCTCAACTATGCACAGTCTGGTACGAAGCTGGAGTTCTATGATCACTAACACCAATGGTCCGTCCAGTCTCCCTACCACATGCAATGAGTACCGATCCGTCGTGTGTAGTGCAGTCCCGCTCATGTCCTGTCGCTACCTCCCTGCGTTACCTTGTCCTCTGTCGTCACGCCCTCTGCAGATCGCTCATTGGTTCCTTCGCGTGATACGCCCCTAGCCTTCACCCTCTCCAGAAAGTCTGATTTCCATGCCTGGATAACCTCTCTTTCTTCCCTAAACAGACTCTCCAACTCTCTCGTCACGAGCTCAGCCCTACGCAACTTGTCCTTATCCTGGCACGACCAGATCTCCCTTAACTTGTTCCCCAACTCCTTTACCTGGTTCAAGAGTGGCTCTTTAATGCGCTCTCTCACTCTTTCGACTGCCTCACTCTCCTCTTTCATACTCAATCTTTATCTTTTCCCAACTCATCGTCTCACCCTTGCTCTAGCCTCCGCTACCGTCTCGTCGTGGAAGTGTTCCGCACGCATATAGTCATGCGACCATATCATCACCTCATAGGAAATCGAGGTCTGGAAGGTCACCCGCGTCAGTACATCAACTCTATGCTCGTGGATCAAATATCTGGGTCGTTGCCAGCACTCCCTCGTCGTCAAGTCCTTTTCTACGTACGCTCGGAGAAGTACTGTCACAATGTACCCTGTGCTTACCAGTTGCTCTCCTACACGCATCACTGTGGCCGTCCTCCCCAGCATTCCCTAAGCTGCGGTCTCGAAGAGAAACCTCACATCCTCTAGCCCCACGTAATCGATCTCCGCTCGTCTCCTGCAGTACCTAATCAGATCGACTGGACTCAGACAGTCCACCTAGCTAGTAACGTCTATGATGTTGTCAAGCGTCTCTCTACTGGGTGGCCCCCACCTCACACAAATGGCGTAGTATACTTCCCGGAAACGGGGCGCTAAGCCCTCCCAGAGCGCGTAAAGTATGTGGTCCACTGCTCTACTCAAATGTTTTATACTCCCATAGGTTTGCCCTATCACGAAGGTAGGAAGTCCGAATCGCCAATCCTCTCTCGGGTAGAGGGTCGGGTGCAGAGGACCGTATACCAAGCGGCTCCAACGCGTCCTCCCTCCAGAGAGTCTCGCTAGTTGTTGATTAACCATCACTCTGGCCAACGACTCGTTCCTCCACCAACTCCTGCTCGCCCCTGCGAGCGTCAGTCCTATTTCTAAATTGTGTGCTCTATCCGCTATCAGATGTCCGACCCCTTCTAGATCATGAGTCCTCTCGGGTCATTCGTCTCGTAGTATCACTGTCCAAAGGAAGAGTCCCTCTGCGAGCCACGTTCCCAAGTATCGTATCGGAACACGCCCTGTTCCTTCTAACGCCACARGAAGTGGAATGTCRTATCCRACCGCCGTCTCTCTGGGTCTCACAAGCTTCCTCACGCTATACGATTCGGACTCTCGTGAGAGAACATAGGCTAACCAGGCTACCGAGTCACTCCTCATCTCCCCTCCGACTCTCGATCAGCATCACTCTACTCCCTCTGATGCACCCTATCTCTCGACGTTGCTAACTCCTCAGACAACTCTCCCACTCAGGTCCAGTATGGTCGAGTAGGTGTTGTGCGCTCTCCCGTCTGCTCCATGGAAGTAGATAGTAAACTCGACGTACCTCTGGCTCCTCCGTATCTCCAGGGCATGTTCCGTCATGAGTCCGATCTGTCGCTCAACAATCTCTAACGCCTCTTCTTCCCAGCCACTCGTCCTATCTCGTCGCAGGGAAAGAGTCACCCTCAGTATATCCCGGTCTGCCATACTCTCCACTACTCCCTTCTCTAAACCTCACTCGGATATGTCATGCCTCTAGTCGTCTCATGCTTCTGGCATATCCTTATCTGTGTCCTCATCTACCCTCTACCCCCATGGGATGTCCTCCTGTCCCTCGGCCTGAAGGAGATGACCTCAACTGTCCTCCTGCGGCGCCTTTCCACCTACCTGCTCCTGTCGCTCAGCCCGCGCCAGATCTCCCCAGTCCTCGTCCTGATCGCCTCAAGGGTGTATGTCGTCGAAGTCCTCCCAATCCCGATCCTCGGTGTACCACGCAAGACCGTCAGCCTCTAGATATACCTGCTGATAATACTCCTCAACCTTCCCGGTCGAGATAAGATGGTCCGGCCTCTCCTCGCGAGTCTCGGCTAGCAGCTGTCCCACACCAGCTAAATAATCAGTTGTCCTCCGAGCCTCTCTCTCTAGCGCCGTCAAGAAGGCTAGGGGCTGGTACAGAGAATACAGGTCTGGGCTCCCGGTAGGTACAATGGCCCGCAGAAACTCAATCAACTGGAGCCCTCGCTCGCCTACAAGTGGCCCCGCTACAAACTGCGCATACAGCACCCAGTCCCTGTCAGCGTACCCTCGGCAAAGGTCGTCCAAGTCAAGAGCCGCAAAGTAGATTTCACCCAGACGTCTAAGTCCCCAAAGCTCCTCCGCCACGAAGCACGGAAGTGTCACACGCAGTCGACTACTAGGATATGGGAAGTATCCTCCAATCCTCAAGGTCATCGTCACTCCCAGAACGCCCCCGTGCAGCCGCTCTACCTCGTCCCGCGCGGAGTCTGCTCGGGCCAGTAAAATCCTCTTCGCGCTCTGGTTCTCTCGCCAATGATCGTGAACGATGCCGTGAAAATAGACTGTGGCTAACACCTCCCGTGAGTAGTAAATGTGGCCCACTAACTCTATGCCAGTCGTGCCTGGTCGTCGCCACCTCAGACTATCTAGGTCAAACGTCTCGATGAGATACGTCCACAAGTGTACGTCTGGGCCTAACACCGTCGATGACCATCGGCTCTCTATCGCATCCGCGGAAACCCCCATGGCCGGCAGATCCAGCGCCACCTTCCCTGGCACTACTGTCTCTGGAGGTCTAGGCCATCTAGCGTCGTCGATCTGAAGCTCCACTCCACTGGCCTGCTCTATCACCGATCCGTTCTCGCCAATACCAGTAGCTAAGCTCACTCAACCGCCGCTCTAATGAGCTCCTCTGCCTCCTACGCCCGGACGGCTACTCCTATCCTGGGGAAGTGGGCGTCCGTAACGTCGATCTCCTCCTCATCAACCTCACTCTCTGGGTCGACCCAGTCTGGCTCCCAAGCGTCCTCATCGTCCTCTCGCTCCCAACCCTCGTTGTCAAACTCGTCCTCGACGCGGTATGGGGCCTGTCCTATAGCCTGGTAGTACTTCGCCAACTGATGGTCATATATCAGAGGTCGCCCAGCGTCCTCACTCCACCAGCTCCCCCAGTCGTCTGAGAAGAGTCGCCCAATGCAGGTCACATACTCAGGGCCTGCTCTGAGCTCACGGTCTAGCCAATCCCAAACGCACGGAGACTGGGGCCACTCATCGTCTATCGAACGGATCATCTCTTTAAGCTGAACCCTCTCGTCACCCCAACGAAGCCCACTGGTCGCGAGCGAATAATAGATGTAGTCGAGGTCGACAGGCCTTCTCGCTAGGATCTTGAGATCCTGATAGGCTAGGTATGTCTCGACCACTCCACCAATGCCTCCAAAGACGCTCTCTACTACAAACGTCGGAACTATCGCCCCCAGRCTCCTAACGCTGTACGGGAAAAACCCGTCCCGTGCTACCACCAGCTCGCCCGTGATATCTAGAGGAGGGCGCCCATGAAATAGGGTCAACGGGTCGCTCGAGTCCTCCACTCGAAAGGCAGCTACCTCTTCCCTCAGGTAGCGTTTCGCCCTGCTAACCGCGCCACTAGTCCCTGTCGTCGCGAGGCTCAACACGGCCTCCGTAACCGCGCCCGGTCCTAAGTACAAGTAGGCCCTCACTACGCCCACTCCTTGCCCAGGCTGGTGCTCTCTGCGCGTCCAAAGCCACATGTCCTTTGACAAGATTATGGACCTCCACGCAAACT